AGAATTCCCCAGCCAGCATGGCTGGCTGGGGAATTCTGGGAGTTGAAGTCCACTCATCTTAAAGTGGCCAAGTTTCGACAACACTGGTATAGATAGTCCTTTCATTAGTCAGGCGGTAGCTTCAGATAGCAGTTGCCAGGGCAGGGGGGAAATTTGTGGTGTGTAGAGATAGCCTGCTCTCTACTCAAGACCAAGTTCTGTTCTTGAATGCAGTGGGGTGGGGTGAGAGCTGCCTTGCCATCAGTTTTGAAGCAAAAGCTTGGTATGGTGATAACAGCCTCCTTCAACCTTGGTGCCAATTAGGCCAATTTTAATTTCCAGAATTCTTAGTATTGGCCATGCTGACTGGGAATTCTGGAAGTTGAGAGCCCCATTGAAGAAGTATTGGACTAACCCTGGAGAAATCCAGCTTAAAGTCCGGGTTTAGCCAAGGAAACTCATGAACTTGCAGCCCAATCTATCTTCCAAGGTTACTGTTGGGATAAAAATGAATGGAAAGAGTGTTTTGTGGGCCTCAAGCTCTGAAAGAAAGACGGGGTATAAATATAACAATTGAATAATAAATATATCAACAACCAGTCCAACTCTACCTAACTACATGGGGAAAAAATGGGAAGCTCCAATTTGTCCTTTGCTTTGGGAAGCAAAACATTTAGGGCTGGCCTTGGAACTCAAGCAAATAACAATCAACAAACAAATTGGAATTTTAGTGAAAACTAGACAACCCGCAACCCGTTGTGTCAATATTTTTAATGGAAAAAATGGATTTGACTTTTGTAAACTAAATGATGATTTGATTTTAAACTTGATATAGTATTGCAGCTTTGATTATAACTATCCCCTCTCCTGCTTTCTTGGATAATATCCAAAATATTTCACATCCAGCTTTTGACTTGTTTTTAATTTTCTCTTCAACTGAACATACAGAGGTACAAAGTGGTATGGTATATGATCTAAATTCATCAAGGCCTCACAATCCAGAATATTTGATCAGGCAAAACTTTAAGTATTATACTAAAGTGAGAGGAAGAGACTGAGATAGCAAGTGTGGACCCACACACAGATAGATATTGTTTTATTCATTTGCATTAAAATTAAATGTGTACATTAAAGCCCCCCAGAAAGCTTAAGGTAGTAATTTGTCTAATGTTTCTAATTAAATTCTATTGTAGAATTGAAACTTTTTTTTTAAATCCTGCTTTATTCCTCCAAAAATGAGAGTTGTTGAATGACTTATAAAACATCAGAAGCATATATAATAGCCAGTTCAATGAAGAAAAAATATATTAAATTTGCAGATTGGAATGTAGGATTTTGGGCACAGTGACATATTTGAAATGCATGTTCATTATACTTAGTTTAAATCCTGAATAGCAGAAATAAACTGCTAGAATTCATACAAACTGTTCCTACAAACACTGTCTGTATGATCTAATAAGCCTGTAACCACTTTTCCATAAATTCCATCAAATTCAGTGAAATCCACTGCTGAATACTTATTTATCTTGCTTATTGAAAACATTTTTATCATTCATGCTAATTTTTACAGAATTCCTGGAATGGCTTAATCCGCACACCCCTTTTTAAAGAAAAATGCTTTGATTTTGGCTTTTTTCAGCTTCTCTGACTGAAAAAAAAAGAGTTGCTGTTTACAGTACAGCAACTGAAAAATATGAAGGCTAAAACATTAGTTTTCCAGTTTTAATATTTTTGTTTTCTTAATTGTTGTTATAAACATGTAGTATATGCCATTAAGTGCCATTCCCTTTCTCTCTGACACATACAGTCACTTGTGTTGTAAATTATATTTGTATTCTGCCCCTGAGTTTGGCTTGGTGTGTTGTACAGATAACCCTGCTGCAGGGGTCCCACAGTGGAGGAAGCAGAGGAAGTCCCAGGCAGGGAGTGCGGGGGTGCCGCAGGGGGGTGGGGGGCCCTGGCAGGCTGTACGTGAGTTGGAGTGGGGTTGCTGCAGTGCATGTGGGGAAAGAGGACACGGGGTGTATGCAAATGGGTGGGTGCACATGTGTGTGCAAGCACAGGGATGTGTGTGTGTGGGGAGCCCAGAAAGAAGAGTGCTCGTCGGTGTGTGCGTGTGTGCGAGCACAGGAATGCCCAGGAAGGAGGGTGCTGGTGGGTGTGTGCATGTGTGTGTGTGTGGGAGCACAGGAAGGCGGGGAAAGAGGGCAGAGGGTGCATGTGAGCACAGAAGCCCAGAAAGGAGGGTGCTGTTGGGTGTGTGCATGTGTACAAGCCCAGGGAGACCCAGGGAGGAGAGCACTGGTGGGCACATGAGTACATGTGTGTGGGAGTGCAGGAGGGCCAGGGAAAGAGGGAGCAAGGTGCATATGAACACAGAGAGGCCCAGAAAGGAGGGTGCTGATGTGTGTGTGCGCACAAGCACAGGGGGGCCTGGGAAGGAGGGCCCTGCTGTTTGTGTGCGTGTGTGTGTGGGGGGGAGCGCAAGAAGGCTGGGGAAGGATGTGCGACCTTTCCTGCTGGCTTCTCCATTGACTTTCCTTGTGGGAAGCTGACAGGGAGCATTGGAAATGATGGTCATGTAACCATGGCTGAGTGTGGCGGCGCAGCAGCACTTAGGCAGCCACAACTTTCCCAAATTTCAATCCAAGGGGAGTCACGGGTCCTGGATTTTGGACACATTAGGTAAGCTAGCCCATTTGAGGTACTTTGGTTGAAAAACTGTTGCCCTATGATGCACAATTGAAGGTTACAGACACGAGAGTTTTAGTGGTATATAGATTAATCAGACAGCAGGAAATCTCCCTGCTGAACAGAACTGGGAGGATGCTATTCTTTTCCATCACACAAACCTTTGGACGATGCCCAGCCACTGCATGTGATTTCCAGCCTGGCACTTAAGAATAGTTACTTAAAAATGAAGAAAAATCAAATGGGAGAGAAGGCAGTGGCATTACTCTTTCATTTACCTTCTTCTTCCTTGCCTTGAAGAAAAGAAGCATGAATCTCTGCCTCTTCTCTACTGCAGGAAGAGGGAAAAGGGGGACAGAAGAATGGCAGGAAAAGAGTTGCTGCGCTTACCTTATTGTATAAAGAAAGGGAGGATTTGTGTGCCGTTTTCCACGTAGAGCAGGGTTTCTCAACCTCAGCAGGTTTAAGATGTGTGGACTTCAATTCCCAGAATTCCCCAGCCAGAATTCTGCAGAGGTTGAGAAACCCCGATGTAGAGGCTCATAAACAAGAACAGCAACACAAAATCTGGGATTCATATCATTGCAATAAACAGTGCCAATTCAAAAATCATACAGCCGTTGAACCAACAAGCCATTCTGATTATAGCAGGGTTCCCCAAAGTGGTCAATATTCATTGTTGTTGTTATTATTGTTGTTACTATTATTATTATTCATAGTACTGTTATAGTAGTATTTATTAAATTATTTTCATATAATAAATGTTTGGGGGTTGATGAACATTTTGAAACTTCATGAAGGGATCAATGAGCTGAAGAGTTTGGGGACCCTTGGATTATAGTAGCACCCCATTATTTTGCATAGGTTACAATGAAGATAGCACCAGTAATTAAAATATAATATCAGTTGTTATTTACACATTATTGAAAAATACAAGACAAGGTTGGAAGCAACTTTATATAAGCAACTTTTTACTATAGTCAGCTATTAATAAGGAATGCAATTATTAAAGGCGCCAAGTGCAGGAAATTACAGCCAAATTAGTTACAACTACCAATATATCAAGTGTTATCAGTCATAAGGATAGCAAAAGAGTTATCTACATATCATATATGTAAGTTCATGGATCACACTAAACCACTGTAGCTTATCAATGATATTTTGTGAATCCAAGCAGTTATTTAGTGAGGCCAGCTTCTGTGGTTTGTAAATCATGTGCAAACTCACCCAAATTCTAGTTTATTTGATAGACCATGTGTGAACATAGTCATGGTTTGGGCTATTCCTGATGGAAGCTCACCTGAATGGGTTTTTACAGCCAATCTGGCCCCACCTTATCTGGGGTTCTGTCAGGCCTCCATTTAATTAACAGACACTCCCATGTTAGATGAAGACTTGTTGTATTGCAATGTATGTTGCAACTATTGTTAGAGCATCTGAAAACATAAAAAGGTCTTTGATGTATGTGATCTCATGCACTCTTGCAACAATCAAAATTGCCTTATTGTAGCTGAGAAACAGAAGCTTAGAGAACGCGCCTTGCCTAGGAACGGTATTCACTCTTTAACACATACTGTAACCTTAAAACCAGGTCTTTCATTTATTAGGCTGCTAAAGTTCAACTTTTCTATCACTGGAAATCTCTTTTTATGCAATGTATCTATTAAGGAAACTGGCCCTTCACACCAGGATTGTAAGTCTTGAGGGTTTTTTTAGGTGACTTCTCAATTTGTGCCAAATTATATATGAGTTCATGCCTTGATGTTACTTTGCATAAACCATGGGTGTGTTTTAGAACACACCCAACATACTTTAAGAAGTTGTATGCTGGAGTTGTAGTTTGATAAAAACAGACAAGCTGCTTTGGGGGCCATTTGATTATGGGTTGCTAGTTCTGTGAATCCAGATAGCGACATGTCATTCAAGCAGTTGCAGATAGTCAAGAGCTGGAAAAAAATGAAACTTTCTGGAAATATCCTTGATCAGTCCTTGCAAATATGGGATTACCTCTGTTACATAAATACTTCTGGATTTATTATTTTTATTTATTTAAAAGTTTTTGGATTTTGCATCATCAGTTATGAGTCTTCTCCTCTATCTAAAAGCCCTGTAGAGGCATATGGGAACCAGACAGATGGCATCCAAAAAACCTGATATCTAACAGCAGAAGCCTAAAGATTTCCCCCTTATTGTTCAGCTTTGTTAACCACAACTTATTTTACTTCTCTTTGGGTACAGTGCTTGATCTCCTTAGCTATAGGCTTCTTTCTTTTATGCCTATATCTGAGCCCCATTCCTTCTTTGAAGGATGCATTTTATAAACAACTTTCTTTCTCTGCTCAAGCTTATTTAATATCATTGCAGATTCTTATTATTTATATATCACCCAGAATCGTTGAGAGTTGGGTGACATACAATAATAATAATAATAATAATAATAATAATAGTCAATTGCAAAAGGCAGCTTTACTTGGAACAGCTTGTATCCTGCGACGATATCTTTAACACCATTAAATAACATCTGCCTATCTCAGGTCCTTGAGAAGGACTCAATAGTGGGTAAAAATGCCAAATCCAGTCTGGCTGACTGTGCAACCAACCATCATCATCATCATCATCATCATCACCACCTAAGCCTTTTGCTTGAAACAACCACATCTAGTATGTTCTTGTAAAATCTTCAACTTCTTCTCTTTACAGAAGACTTTTCCTCCTATAATGATCTACCAGGAGGGGTACCTACATGGACCATGCCAGGAAGTGGCACTTTCTCCTATTGCTCCTATAATGCTCCAGGCCAGACAGGTAAGGGTATGCATTCCCCCTTCTCTTGCTTTCTCAAACAGCAGAACAGTCCTCCTCTGTGCCCTGGTTGTTGCACATGGTAATTCCACAATTTGTCAGAAGCCATCATTGGAGGATGGGTTCATATATTGCACCGGGCCAGGGTTTGCTTAACTTGATTTGTTGAATAACTTACAGCTGATTGAGTTTATGTATCACACTAATCCATAAACCATGGTTTCAAAACCACAATGGCTGGGCTCATATAATATGCTGAGCCAAACCAGGCAAACCACATTATGGCAAAGAAACCAGTTTCTGCTTTTTAAAGCTCAGTCTGGCTCCATCTACCCTTAGGGACCTGAGTCCTGTTTTTCAATGCCTGAGATTCTCAATTCAAGTAAATTAAATTAAATTAAAAAACTAAATGTAATTCTCCCATTACATTTGTATTCCTCTTTGTCTTGTTCCTTGATTAGCAAAAGATATTTCCCATTGACTTGGGAAAGCTTCTATCAGCTCTTAGGGGATTATTCAACATTTTATTAATGACCTGGATGATGGGATTGATGGACTGCTTATCAAGTTATGGAGAATAAATAAGTGAGAGGTCTGGGTAGATGATAAAACAAGATTGCAATCCAATCTAGACATGATGGAAGATTGGGCTGAGAGGAATAAGATGTTGTTTAATAGGAAGAACTGTAAGGTGTTACATTTGGGGGGGAAAAATACGGTATACCTACATGATGGAGAATATATGGCTAGGAAACATATATTTGAGAAGGACTTGGGCATGGTTATTGACAACAAGCTGAATGTGAATCAGAAGTGTGAAGCAACTGCTAGGAGGGCTAATAATTCTGGACTGCATCAGAAGATGCATCATATCAAAGACAGGTGAAGTCATTACTCCTCAATACTCTAAAGTGTTGAAACCATACCTGGAGTACTGTGCATGATTCTGGGCACCACATTTCCAGAAAGATATAGACAGATAAGAGAGGGTTCAGAGGAAAGGCAGCAAGGATGATCCAGGAATGGAAGACTTAGCCAATGAGGATAAGTTGAAGAAACTTGGGATGTTCAGTCTGTAGAAAAGAAGGCTGAGAGGATACATGATGGTATGTATCCTATATTTTCCTCTGAACCCTCTCTTATCTGTCTATCTTTCTGGAAATGTGGTGCCCAGAATCATGCACAGTACTCCAGGTATGGTTTCAGTACATCAGGTACATAAAGGGAAGCTACACAGAAGATGGACAAGAATTATTTTCCATAGCCACAGAAACTAGGACCACAAATAACAGATATAAGTAGCAGCTACCTACATTTTGTTTATAATATTTATTTCTTCTAAAGTATTTGTTTTCTTTGTTTATAAAGAAAAACTTTCTGACAGTAAGAGTGGAACAGTTTACTTATGGAGGTTGTAGGTTCTCCATCTCTGATGGTTTTTAAGAAGATGCTGGATAGCCACCTCCCATAGATGGTTAAATTGGTTTTCCTGCACATTGC